TGGGGGCTTGGAAATTTGGGGGCTTGGAAATTTGGGGGCTTGGGAATATGGGGGTTTGGGAATTTGAGGGCTTGAGAATTTAGGAACTTGGGAATTTGGGGACTTTGGAATTTGGGAGCTTGGGAATTTGGAGGCTTGGGAATTTGGGAACTTGGGAATTTGGGGGCTTGAGAATTTGGGGGCTTGGGAATATGGAGATTTGGGAATTTGGGGCCGTGGGAAGTTGGAAATTTGGAAATCTAGAGACTTGGGAATTTGAGGACTTGAAAATTTGGGGATTTGGGAATTTGGAGATTTCTGAATTTGAAGAAATTGAGAATTTGGAATTTGAGAGTTTTAGCTTGGAAAAGTTAGGAAATTGGTAGCTTGAGAATTTGATACTTTAAGAATTCGAGGATCTGAGAACTTACAAATTTTAGAATTCGAAGATTTGAGAGTTCAAGAATCTGACAATTCAAAGATTTAAGAAACTGAACATCTAGAAACTTGAAGATTTGACAATTCAAGGATTCAACAACTAGAAAATCAATAAATTCTGTACTTTATAAGTCTCCAAACTCCTAAATCGAAATAAGAATCAAGCAATCGTCCCGAAGGAAAAAATCGAAACCGATCGAGCAGGTCGTAAAGTTTCATCTCATCCTGTAATAACGCGTTTAACGACCACGTTCCCGTTCCTATGATAGCTGTACAAGGTATTTTTTAGGCAATCGGCGATAAACAACCCTCGTTATTACGATCGGCTAGGTCGTATCGTCGCGACGGTGCTTTGATCTTCGCCACACGATCGAAACTCAACGAACCACGAAGTAGAGGCGCAGTTTTCGACTCGTTAGGCTCTTGAAGGATACAAAGAAACGTGGGTTGATATCACCGGCCGAGAAATCGAAGCTTTGGGTGGAAATTGGGACGATCGTAGGAGGAACGAGGGAAGCAATTAACGAGTCGGATAGCCCTCCATTGTTCGACGAGGAAACCTCTCGTTACGAGGCAACTTCTCGTTACGCCTGCCATTAGATTGTGGATCGGAAAAGAATACACGAACGCAACACGTAAAGAACAAACGCGAACGAAAACAATGACCTCGACGTTGCATTCGTAGTGCTAACGTTTATGCTTGCATACTTTCTTGCGAATGAAATGGGATCGACCGTTACGGATCGCGAAGCTTTTCTTACCTAGAACACTTGAGCTTCCGGATAAAAGCCGGAATACAAAGCGGAAAGTGTACAATAATGATTACGCTTCCTCTGCGCTTGTTCTTTTTTTAAATGCTCGATAGAATCTAGACAACACTGTTTCGTACACAAATTTTAGAGACGTATATCCATCAGAGAGAATCGATAACAGAAAAGACTATTAGAGGGAAGACTATACAAAAAGTTTTATATGTACATGCACGGGATTGTAAACTATGTATAAGATAAGAGAAGTTACGGTAATGAGGGCAGATAGGAGGAACATAAGTGGATGCGAACTGGAGGGTCTTTAGGTTCGCTTGTAAATGTCTGCAGCCCCCATTGACGACCTGATAAGGGCTGAGTTGTATTCAGCTGCTGAAGTTGGACATTTGTACAGTTACTGAACTTGACAAGCTGTGAACACGTGCAACTGAATTTGGGAAGTTCACAAACTTTTTGTTAAATCGTGAAATTAATTCTAGGTCATGAAGCTACAAGGTTGACATAAACATAAAAATAGTATCTCAAAGTTGGAGATAAGTTATGAAGTGCAAACATTTTTAAGTAAATACAAGCTGGAAATATAGCTACGAATATAGTTACAAAGGTGGAAATATAGCTACGAATATTTCAGATGTGATCAAACAGTGGAGCAAGCATCCCTATTTCCTGACAGATCGCTACTCGAAGATTCTCCTCCAGGAAGAGGTACCATAATCCCAAAGCGGAATTTTCGCAACGAAACTAGATCTAACATTCCCGAGCAATTAAGTCACCCTTCGATTCTAATCATAGATCGGACCGCGTCCTTTGCGTACAAGGACGCGTTCGTCATGTGTGTACATATATCTGGTCCCAGTGGAAAAGGGTCGGCCTGGCAGGCAGGGCAACAGAGGACGACTGGGTTAGAGGAGGGTTGATGGACAGTGTTTGCCGAGGGTGTGGCGGCTCGACAATTAGGGTGTGCCCAGACAAACACTCGTTCGCTGTCAGTGTCGGCCCTTGGCACAGTATGTCATCTTCTTGAAGCTGAGAGGGGTAATCGCGGGCTCGCACGTATTCCTCGAGAGCCGCGAGTGCTTTCCACTTATGTCTCTAGCCTCATTACTTCCTACCGACTTTCTATACAACGTTTACCCTCGGTTTTCTTCCGTAACCTCTTTATTCCAGACACCGGCTAGACCAGGCACCTTAAGACCTAGACCGCGGAGTCTCGAGCTTTTCATTTATGCTTCAAGGGTGCAATAGCACTGGGTGAATATTACTGTTTAATCACTGTTACAGATTACCAATTCAAGTCTTCATGTGACATAAGCTTGTATGTCAGATAAAAACTTCTTCACTAGGACTATCAATAAGTACAGGTGAGAATACAACTCTTGGTTCAAGGTTGACATTAACCTTTGTTATACTTCGACAATTTGTACACACGTTACTTGCACTTGCAGTTATACTAAAGTTTTTAATACATTTTAATTTGGAGTGCAATTATAATTTGCAGAGTCAAGGATCGTTGAAAATAAGACATTTCTTAATATCTGTGTTAGTTCTGACTGGTGTTTCGAGGTGTTTCGAATAAAACTGTAGTACTTCCACGTTAAATAATCTTTTGTTCGAACCCCGTCAAATTTAACTTTAAAAAAGTTTATACAATCCGTCGTGACTTGGCCATTCGTCAAGAAGTAGAACGGATTGGCTTATTATAAAAGATTGAGAGAAGAAAATGAGGAAACGAAATAAGGCGGGTCGGGGTGCATCGGAAAGAATGGAAGAAAGCGGTTGAACGATAATCGCGTTACTACGTCGATCCAATTTGCGGAAGTTGCCATTGCGAATCACAAGTTCGTCCAGGGGGGGCGAACAGGGGGGTTCGTTCTTTTATTGTCTCCTCGAAAGTCGTCTCGAGGCTGACGATTATCTCGCGATCCTCCGGATCCTCGCGAACGAAGCAAACTGCCACGGCAACTTAATTACCCTCTCGAGATGAACCTTAACGATATTTCGATAATCACGGTTAATCTGATTTGGCTAATCAGCGAAGATTGCCTTTTAATCATGGAAAAAGAAATATAGGAAATCTCTTTTTCTCAATTGAAAACTTGACTATTTCCGACTTCATTGATGGAAAGCGTGTGTGTAAACGCTCGAAAGCTTTCTTTTTTATTGCCTCGTAAAAGTTGCACTAGGTTCACCGGATGTAACGATAAGCACGGTGGACAGCACTTGTCCCGTTTAAACACGTGTTCATACATTACTTGATCGCGATACGATTTTTAACAAGCATCACGCTCTACTTTATTAACTACGTCGAAAATACTGCACCTCCAGCTAGATTCCATTATTTCGAGAATAGAAATAACAGCAATTTTGACTGATGGTGGGTTGATCTTACCTTGACCTTTTCGTCGATCTTCCTAGGAGGTTGGTTTGAAGTTTGGGGCGGTGGCGGCGGTGCTTCGGGGTCAAAGCTAACGCGTTGCCCTGTACCCCGCAGGAAACCGCCACCGGCGCTCAAATTCCAAGGCCTCGTGTTTGTCCCCATCTTCAACAGGGTGTCGGCGCAATCCTCGTCTGGAGCCCCGATTTCTTCACCGGCACCGGTTTCACCAGGGGATCTCGCGCCCCTGGTGACTTGCTCCTCATCTTCGTACGCGCTTTCTGAAACAGAAGTTACGCTACTAAACATTTCACTGTCAATAATCGAGAGACTCAATGGGGAAGGTACACACGAGAATCCCATTTTATCTCGGAAGCTTCCCTAAGTTATTACAACTTGTTGACAGTGCAAATTGATGTGCATACATTTATCTTCCATTGAATCTCTCAGGGAAACTCCGTAAGACGCGTGTTATCCACTGCAGCATTATCATCGTTTGAGGTGTTCTTATAATAATAATACCAATATGTATCCTTAATAATAAATATCCTTAACAATAAACTTACTGACACGTGTACTTAATTTGAAATTAAAAATGAAGTTAAAAAATAAATAAGCAAACGTTGAAACATAAATTAGTGCACACATCTGTTATTTATTCTGATTTCAAGGAATGTACTTTAACATTACAGGAATGTACTTTAAAAGTACAGAATGTACTTTTTCAAGAAGTGTACCTTATAATAAGAAACTTGTGGAGCGATCATTTGGTAGTTTTAGTGTTAATCTATTAATAACAAAAGTTAGCAAATGAAAAAATGAAGCAAAATGCTTGAATGAACGACGCTATCTGCAGGAATTTGGAGTAGTGTATAACTGTTTCAGGGTACAAATAATCGATATCGGATACGGAGAGCACAATAGGCGATTACGTTCGATTTCAGCATTTTTGCGTCGGAGCGTGTTCGGTATTAAATCGAGCAGAAGTCGAGTTGGACGTATCACCCTCCCACGCAAGTTTCGTCATAACAGGCAGATCGTCATATCGTCGAGGATGCAAATAAAGAGTGCACGGAAAAATGGCGAGGACCTAGCATCCAGCGAAACGATGAAACGACCAACGGAACTGGATACACCCCGTTGGTAATCGAAACGGATGATGGATCGAGCGATATACTCTCCCTTATTGGTTTTACGCAAACATGCGCGACTGCAACTCTACGACGTCATTTTTAGGATTTTCCTTCGTTCTTGACAAAGATTTTCAATTCTTATATATTTCAGTCTGAACTGACTAGATTTGCACTGTGCTAATATAATGATAATGATAATAATATTTAATATTGAATGAACGGCATTTTGAAGTACTCGAGTCATGAAAATTTCAGCCATTTAAGCTTGATAAATTTAACCGAATTAAATATGCATCTCGATGTATACGCTTTCGAAATAACCACGCATGACAGATTAATATTACTTTAATAACGTGACACAGGAAATTGAGAGTTTAATTCGTACAATTAAACCGTCATAATCGTTAGTACAGTGTGCTGCACATATGGCTATTTCCACCGCGATTAACAACCCGAAGTTTGGACTCTGGTAAAATAAATCTGGTGAACAATTGAACGTATCCGAAGACAATTCAGCAAATGAAAGCGGCCATCTTAGACACGTAACCTCATTCGACAGTTTTGTCACTTCTTCTTTAGATGACTAAGATCATTACCTCTTTTTATCACAAATTTTAGAAGAATGAATTATCAGAAGTTTTTACGTTGCGACACGTTTGCAGCGTGATCGATTTTTCAATCGAAAAACACAATCGGCGACGGAAAAAGCTCAAACAAGTAATCGTTCGAAGCTTTGGGTCACATTTAACGACTGCATTGTTCCCAAGAATCGAGTTACTCTGTTCGCTGCCAAAGAAACGACGACTTCTTTTCAGCACCACGGGTATTATCGTAGCTCGTAGATCTTTTAATTCTTCCACTTCATTTATTCGTACAACAAAGTTGTTTCTAAAAACACAATTAAACGATCTTCCGTTTCTAACGAAATACGTGTCGCGTTTCTTTCAATTAAGTTTCAAAATAATTTCTACGGGGTGAAATTTCATTATCAGTTTATCGAGCGTCGCGCCATCGTGGCGTGGTTATGCAATCAGGTCGTTAGAGACCCGCGATTTACATAAGGAAAAACATGCGAGTATATACGCGTATTTCGCGCGAACAAAGGTGCAGATTGTGAAACAATTCGAACAACGACCCCGTTCAAAAGAATCTTAATTCACGGTAATGGAATTCCATTAAATCATTCGTCCGGACGTTCAATCAATTACTTCTGTTTATCCTGGCGTTGAGTCACAGATCGCCGAGGTCATATATTTTAAGGCCCTGTAGCCCCTAAGTTCTAAAATTAATAGTCTGAAAGTTCCAAGGTCCCAGGGTTCGGTCCTCGAAATTTCTACAATAATCTCGACAAAATAATAGTGGTCACAGGTAGTAGTTTATAAATCTAAGGCTAATCCAGTGCAATTGATTTTGATTATCCTAGGGTTATGGGGTACAGCTTGTTACTGTAGAGAACTCGAGGTTCACGCGGCGCAAACAGAAATAAAGTCGTTATTTTAAACGGCAGATTTATTTGGACGGATTCGACCATCGATTAGTCGGCGGATTCGAGCGTAAATTTCTAACGTAAGAAACTGTTGGTATAACGCTTATCTGTATAGCTATTCTTGCACCACTTCAATTTGAACATCTCACAATTTGTATTCCATCATCTTTCTGTTGCATTATTCCATCATTTCAGAGCGTTAATATTTAATGGCCGTGTTCGACCAAAAATAGTGATTTATCTCGGAATATTTCAGAAATTTGTACGTCCATCGTAGTTTCGAAGAAAAACGAGCTCCCTCATGATTCTTGTATCTCCCTGGTTCGTTTCGCAAACAACACCTGAATTTATTGACCCGAAGTTCCTGTATATGAATTCTCCGGTAACGACCAGACGATCTTGAACGGCGGAAAAGCAGGCTCCACGGAATCTGGACAGAACGGAAGATCGATCATCCTCCTCGAAAATAGCTTCTCGTCCTCGAAAAATTCGCATCGCTCTCGGCGAACAACGAGAATCACGGTGCGTTTCGCGCTTATTTTTGATACGACCAGGCACTGGGTAACACGTCTGTGCATACACGAAAATCGTATATCCTTTATGCTCGTCTGCATGTTCACACACGCCGGCTTTATCGATCTAGCTTCTAGGCTGGAACACGCGATTCACGGTAAGCGCAACGACCCGTGGCCGAGGTCGAAGTTCGAGGAAACTGCACCGACAAGCTCCAATTGAAGATTCTCCGTGTCGTATATGCTAACACCTTTTGAACCCGTTCTATCACGCGATTATTATCGGATTATTCGGGCAAATATGTTTTCAAGAAAGAGCGTTGGATTAGCTGTGCATGAAATTGTCATGTGTTAATTATATGGCAGTTCACTACGAGGTACATAGTGATGTGTGAGAGTTACCAAGCGTAAAAATTATCACGCGTTAGATTTGTCAAATGTTGAGTTCTCACAGGTAAGAGTTACCATGCGTGAGAATTGTCACGCATCAGAGTTATCACTCATTCTAGTCACCACGAGTTTGAGTTGTCACGTGGTAGAGTCTTCACGCATTAGAATTATCATGTGTTACTATCTCCACATGTTGGAGTTGTCACGCATCAGAGTTACCACGCATTCTAATCACCACGAGTTTGAGTTGTCACGTGATAGAGTCTTCACGCATTAGAGTTACCATGTGTTACTATCGCCACATGTTGGAGTTGTCACGCATCAGAGTTACCACGCATCCAGTCACCACGAACTTGAGTTGTTACGTGGTAGAGTCTTCACGCATTAGAGTTACCATGTGTTACTATCTCCACATGTTGGAGTTGTCACGCATCAGAGTTACCACGCATTCAGTCACCACGAGTTTGAGTTGTCACGTGCTAGAGTCACCACACAGTAAAGTTACCATATGTTACTATCTCCACATGTTGCAGTTGTCACGTTACAGAGCTACCACGTATTCCAATCACCACGAGCTTAAGTTATCACGAGGTAGAATCCACACGTATTCAAGTTATCACCTGTCACAATCTACACGCATTAGAATCACACATGAGAGTTGTCACGTGTTAGCGTCACCATGCATTAGACTGGTGATCATACGTTGCATGCGGTGGTGCATCACACGTTGCAATGTGTTAACATAACGTAAGCCACCGTGTACTAAACTTGTCACTTTTACAATCTCCATGAATTATAACCACCATACATTAAAATAACATATTAGACTCATTGCGATAAAATTGTCGACGCGTTAGAATTATGAGATTCCCGAGGTATACAACGTGCTAAGGTCATCATACATCGTATCTCCAAATTGTATCACTATGTAATTATCACATTAAAATCGCTACGTAACTTCCAACCCGTTATAATTAAAGTGAAGCAGCAGTAAAAAGTTACTTATGATAATGAGCCTGACTTCAAGATCATAAAAATCGAGTCTCATATTTTACATAATTAGCAGAGATTCTTGCGGCTATTATGGAGCAGGTGCTGAAAGGGTCGAGAGTGTATAGGAGGTCCTCCGCTAAGCGGCTAATAGACTCTCCGTCGAAGTTTCGAAATTTGCCGCGTAATCGGCGATCTAAAGCAAAACGGAAGTGCAGGTTGGCCTATGCGGCGATCGAGCCTACGTACTTCTGCACCTGTTGCATGCACCGCACCTGTGTAGCAAATCGTTTCCCAGAAGCTCGTATACTCGCATTAGCTTCTTGGAAACCTCGGAAGGACTTTGCTTTATTCTCTAATTAAATATCGCGAGAGGAAGTCGAACGAGGACGAAGGGAGAGCGTTTAAAATGGTGTCGTGGAGAGATAACTTTCGAAGAATGTACAGAGAGTGTCATAAAGAATGCATCCATGGTGTTCGCAGCGATAATTCGTTCATTACGCGATGTACGAAATTGACGGCTATTAGTGGGAGCATAATTGGCAAACGACCCTTATAGTTCGGCCACGCCATGATTACATCGTCGCTGTTTTCGTGCCGATTGTTCGTTCGCGTGCATCATGGTTCTCATTTTCTCTCTGCGCTCGCATGCGTAATTACGAGCGAATATTCACCCCTGGAATCGCTCGCGAATGAATATTGTTCGATCGATGGCCCGTGAGGACCACGCTAATTCCCTCGGTTATGCGTTCGCGTGCGAACATACATTC